TTGTTAGAATTTTTTTTTTTAGAAAAGAACCTTTATAGGGCTTATATGCTATATAGCAAAGAAGGAGAAACTGTGGAGGGAGACATAGAAGAATGCTAGAGCAATGAGAACACTAAGCCGGCGACAACGAAAAAGAAAGTGTTTAGAAGAAGGCAAGCCATTTTATTTTTATATATACTCCCTCTGTTTCGGTTTATATATCATTGTAGAGAAAAAAAAATTGTCTTCAAAATATGTGTGTTTATAATTTCAATGCAAAATTTATTAACTTTATCTATTATTATATTTTGCTATCGATTGAAATGTGGTTAGATGTATAGCTAATTGTATTTTTTTTAAAAAAAATATGCAAAATTAAATGTTTTCTTAATCTATGTGCAAAAAAACCCAAAAAGACAACTAAATTGAAACGGAGGGAGCAGTATTTAAAAAGGCCGGTCTCTCCGGTGAAGAAGCTATAAGTTGTCGGGGCCTTGCCTTTGTAATTTGTGTGGACATATAATAGCCATGGAAAACGAATGACAACTCCACTTAGACTTCCCCCCAGTTATACAACCAATTAACCTTATCAGGTGTTGCGAACAACACAAGGTAATAAAACTCTTTACGACCCCCTTTATAGTTGAAAAGTCCAGATAACGGTATGATAAATTGATTATCCAGATCACAAAGAAATGAAATAATTGTTAATGTTACTGAAACATTACATGTCAAGATATGATTATCAGATTACAAGTTTTGCTGATTTGCACTTCCTTGCAAGTTATTAATCTGAAGATGGAATGTATTAATCAAGGTGCTGACTCAGATTTAATTGGGTTTTTTTTAGTTTGTAGACTAGCTTTGGAGACGTCATGATCCATGTGGTTCATTCAGATGGACAAATGAAGTAGACAACATATTTTCCACAGAATTGTATTCACATGATGGATCTCACAGTGTTATTCACTAGCAAAGAATCAATAAAGTACATATAATATTTTTTTTTGAAACACAACTTTCTTCCATTAACGTCAACTTGCTTGACTACAAATGCCAGAGGGAATTATCCATCATCATTCATTGAAAAGATAAACTAGCAGCATAAAATAAGAGAGATAGATCTTCAAAAGAAGTAAAAGACAACGAAGTCAAGACAGTGCTTGAATGCGTTGTGTAGCCTTCGTGACATGGTCGGATAGCAGAGATATAGTCACCTTTAATTGTGACGTTGACATCCAATCCGCACCTAGGAAACTCGTCGAAATGAATTTTGCTGCATCTTCAGACCCCGAACGGACCGTTCCACAAGATAGCATGACGGTTATAGATATGGACAAACACCTCCATAAGTTTGGAGGGAAAGCCCTCCTTAGAAAGGAAGCAAATTATGAATATGATGATCCCGGTGAACCCACTGGTAAATGATAGAATAGACTACTCCTAAGAGGCTTGCCAAGGCCATACTAAGATGATTTGGGCCCATCCCAAGCTAAAGGAAATTGGGTCTCATCAATGGAGAAGGTCTTGTCGGTTTCACAGAGAAGACCGGCGTCGGTGGTGAGGGAGAGGAGAAACGGCGAGCATAAGCATATAACCGGTAAGAGTCTGAATCTATCAACCGCGTTTTATGTGGAATCCCACTAACACCGGTGGTCAAGACATCGGGAGTTGTGGTCTGAGGCTGAGCTTGCGAAGAGATGGAAGGCGAGAGTTGGTGAGGATCTTCTAACCGGAGTAACATTGAAAGGGAGAGGTTGAGATACACAGATCTGGGGTTTGTATTCACAGATCTGGAGACTAGAGGTGAGAGGCCGAGTAGAGGGGCCAACGAACTTTATTCACTAGCAAAGAATCAACAAAGTACATATATAAACAGAAAGTTACATTAGATTAACTTAACAAATAATGAAGTCAAATATGAATTATGAGAGATAAATAAATTATATATAGAGATATAATACATATTCACTGGATTTTTGAACATCTTTGACGAAAGTTAGCCACACTTTTAAATAAACATCTCTCAGAGCATGCTACGATGTTGTGTTTCAGTAATGTCTTGTCTTGACAACGGTTTTTTCACAGCTGCATAATGGTCGAGACATTTTGCTTTTGCAATGAATTTGGAGCTTGTAGTCATATAAATAATAGTACATTTAACCATGCTTCAGATATGGGTCATCACCTAATAAACACTCAACATGAACTGTGATGCAGCATTCGTCGCACCAATAGATCATGTTTGTGTTTGCATCTTTCAAATCATGTTCGCACACCTCACACCAACTTTTCTCACATACTTCTTTTGCGCACAAAACTCTCAGAAAGTGTTTGTCATGCTTGTACCTTACTTTGAACGGTAAGGTGGTGCATTTAATGCATATAATAAAACCACAGATGATGCAATTTAATTGCTTCTTACATTTTTTTTTGCATACATGGCATATAGGCTCTTCTTCTGGGTTTAAAGCTAGATATAAGGGATGTTCATGACCTTGGTAAACAACTGGTTCAGATATTGAAGCACACTGTATATCCAAATCGAACTTGCATCCCTTTAAATGACACCCATAATTAAATCCATTGCATAAACGACCGCAAGCATTGCAAATGTAGTCACCATCTTCATATGGACTCATAAGGTTCAACGTAAGTGGATGAGGATGTAACGCATGTTGTAGCTTACGGCCAGAATTTGCGCATGTTTCGTGGAGGATGAAATCACACTCAATACAAGAATAAAAATTACCTTCAAATATAGGTAGAACACACGCTTGACAAAACTTATCTTCGTCATAAAGCATGCTGACTTGGAGGTAGAGATGATGGTCATGAAGGAAATGCAGTATCACTCCTTCATATATCATAATGAATGGTACAGCATCTGATGTTATATCTTCTTCTTCTTCTGGTACACTTTTGAGATCTTTCCCGTCCCACACATCTTTCCCTATAGCACATATTGAGTGAATAAAATAATCACAACATTTATCACAAGTATATGCACCATAATTGGTCTCAATACTTTGGCGACAAATTCCACAGAGCCATTCTCCCGTTCGGAGAGAAGAAGTGTAGGAGATACGATGATGGTGACGTGATATTTTGATGATACTTGGAAAATACATACAATCTTTGTGAGCTACAAAGTTGCATTCGACACATATGTAGGTGGGATTCAATTTTCTCAGCAAGCCACAAACGTTGCAAGTTAAAGGAGCTGCTCTGGGGAAAAAGGTGAGAGGATGGTCATGCCTTTTTGGTTTGTCTATAACAAAGGGTATTGGTTTCATCGCACAAACCGGAGTTATGAAACCTTCACATATGGCACAATAGTATAGTAGACCATATGCTACTCTTCCACAACATAAACATTTGATGATGGGAGCAAAAGACATACGAAAGTAAAGTTGGAGAGAATGCTGAGAGTGATAAGGGGAATTTATTTTAAGTGGAGACTGAACACATTCTCTGTGATACGTTTCATCACACGAGACACAAAGATAATAGTCTGTGCCAAAATTTACACCTTTGCATATGCGACACCCACCATCTATTTCAAAGTCTTTATTGTTGCACCAAAACAAAGGAAGTACGGAATGGTTAACATCATCATCTCTTGTAGAGAATAGATACTCCGGGGAAGAAATGATCGGATAAACTATGAAACTATCAGGTGATTTTCTAATTGCAACATGGATTCGTGCCATTGGACAAAGAAAAAGAGATTGAGATGTGTTGTTGTTGTTGATGATTGTTTTATTGGAGGAGGATGAGCTTTGAATTTGAGGTATGGGATGGTATTTTGAATGGTGATATTCAAAAAATAGTTTACCATCTTTTTCTATTCGATGAAATTCACCATCAGCATCCATTGATACGTTCGATCTCTCTATATTTGTTTTTTTTGTCGAGAAGAAAAGTTGGACTTTGTAAATTATTTGGTATACAAAACTAAAACTCTACACAATTCTCTACAATATATATATATATATATATATATATATATATATATATATATATATATATATATATATATAAGTTTTGAGTCATGAAATCTCTTTCAATTTCTAATTGTTGGATCCTTAACTTGAGACGACAAAAAAATGTTAATTATTTTTTTTGTTATTATTGTTGTGATATTCCTTTTACTAAAAAATAGAAAAGAATAAATTTTGTGAAATGTTTCCTTTGCACATGGTTTTAGTCTTCCATGAAATTATTTTTTTTGCTATTACTGATCGTGCATGTCGACCAACTAGGAGAACATAAAATCAAGATTTCAGTTTTTAACTCTGTAGCTTAGTTTTTATTAAATTTCAATCTATAAATTGATTCGATCTTTTTAAAATTATTGGTTTTGCAAGATTTTTTTTTTAAAATATGTCTTTTTAAATTATTAGTTTGATATATGTACGTTTAATTTTTATTGTAGATCCTTTACGTCAAAAGGAAATGAATTTTCTTTTTCTTTATTAATGATTAGGAGGTTCCATGTGTGTATTGCAAACTTTCATTCTATAGCATATATCAAAGTATCTGTTGGTTATGTTTCATGTGTAGATTGCTTCTGAACGTAGATAAAGAATCAACTAAAGAAGTTTGAGGTGAAGCAAGCAAGGGAGAGAGAGAGAGGAGATTGGGTATTCAAACGCAGTCTTGGTTGTGAAGCCTCCAAGCTTATGCCAAGGGATGGGATCTGTCGTCAGACACTGGAGCTCCTCATCCACGTTCACATATTAAAAGTGTTAAAAACAAGGTTTTTCTGCTATATAATGAAAGATTTAAGTTTCCCAAAGGCAAAAGAACTGTTAAAAGACTTTGATTCAAGTTGAGGAAAACATTAGAGACACAATGAAGATTAGTTTCACAAAAATTAAATTTAACTTATAGCGATATTAGTACGTTCTTAAGACATTCGTTTCTCCTAATCTCTAATTATAAAAGTTTCACGACAGAACATAGAAGTCGACACATTTAGCCAATCCCTCTCCCATAACAAAATGTCATCACCATCTTCAGTATCCACCTGTGGTTGGTTTCAATTTCATGGCAGAGGGTGGCAAGCGTTGAATAGCTGTTATGGTTGTTCTCAGCAGATCATCATCTCCAACAATCACCCTCAGCTTCTTCGAGAATTCCTCTCTCGAAATCTTCTTCTCCTGCAACATCACACACACAGATTCCTACATGACATCTTGGCAACTATAGGTAATAAAAAAAAAGGGCAAGGACTCAAAAAACAGTTTTACAACTATATACCCTAAGATGTTGGTAATCAGCAGTGATCATCTCCATGTCTTTCTGAGCAATTTTTCTTGAGATTGCTTTGAAGAGCAGAGGGTAAGGCATCAAAGCAGAACTGACATTACTGTTTCCATTTCTTGCCCTTCCTGTCCCCTGCTTTAACCAAAACAAGCCGGCATCACTGCTTTTAAGTCCCAATCAAAGATTACAAGAATGTTCCTCAGGTACAATAAAAAAAGAAACTCACATTCGAGAGAGAACCTTTGGCTCCTTCCAAGGTGAGCCCTGAACTCTCATCATGCTTACTCTGAGCAACAGAAAGTAATTTCCCTGCAAAAAACGGTATATGTAACAAAAAGTTGTCATGGTCGAAACATTCATATGCATTTAGCTATGGACATCTCACTGGACCCATAACACATGTCAGAATAGCTTATCTTCAGCAAAATGCTGTATCCCATTCAATGCGTCATCAGTAGATTTTGTTTTTTTTGTTGAAAATGAATGAGAAAATCAATCACCTTCAGCATTGGGGATAGACAACAGCTTGAAGCTAACTACTAATTCTGGATAAACATGAGTGTTCACATTCATGTTCCAGACAAGATAATGCTTCGGACTCAAGACATTATCAACTCCATTATCATACTTTTCTCCACCAGTAAAGAACTGCGCTCTATCACCGTTTCCAAGAGGCTCCATGTTGCCCATTATCACACGGCACAAAACCATGTGACGCACACCGTTTTCAGCAATATCACAATGTGTTGCACTGTAAAAACATTATCTTCCCCACATGTACACAAACAAAAACATTTAAAAGAACTAAACCATGGAGGAAGGAAGGCTAAACCTGAAGTAAGGGCAGTTTTCAGCAGATAAGTGAACCCCAACACCATACTTAGACTTCTTAATGAACTCTCCACCAACACCAAGTCCATGCTTCATGACTGCAGGTAACAGTTTCTTCTTAACAGGAACCCATGCGTATCTAATGTTAGCATCTCCTCGGAGTAACTTAGTGATCTCAGCTTGTTTCTGAAAGAGAGATTGACGACCTTGTGCGATGTCAACTGAAAAACGATACGCATCAAGCAACTCTACATGTCCTCCTAGAGTGGCCATACTTAAAACAAACTTTTCTTTGACAGCTTCTATATCAACTTCTTCATCAGCAGGCTTGACACTAGAGAACATATTACTCCCACGGCTGCAGCTATCCTCTGACGACTCTTCATATTCATATTCCCCATTTGAAGATGGCTGAACAACACCTTTGACATCAACTTCAAGGTGCAGCTTGATCTCACATTCATCATGTTGCTCCTGATTCTCCTCACAGTCCCATTCGTAAACTTCGGGGAAAAAGCATTTCCCAGTAATGTCAATCCATGCAAGGTGGGTTCTTACACCTGTTTCCAAGTCTAGTCGATGCATGTGTAAGAAATCCAGAAGAAAACAGCGGCCGGACATGTTTATCTCAATTGCAGCTCTCTTTGCTTCAAGATCGTTCCTGATAGGGCAGATAATGTGGTCAGGCAAGTCAGTCCATTCGCCGTTTTCATAGAACATTACACGCTTTGGCACTCCTGTCTTCTTGAAGTAAGAGTAGTATCTGACCAAAGACTTGCCAGAGTGATTCTCAGTAGCATCAACTTTGTTTCCACCATCAAGTTTTCTCCTTTGATCAAGCTTTGAACAGTTCGGCGAGAGCACACATTGCATCTTTGCAAATGACCTTCCAGATTCATAGTAGGTGGAATGCTTTCTCTTTTTTTCAGGTTCATCTTTAAAACTACTATCCAATACCTTGACGACGTTGGACTCCATTTCTATCTAGCAGCAAAGCTAAACCTAAGACCTTGAACAGAAACTCAAGGAACACGTCTAAATCTCTAGCAGTCCTGAAGATAGCAACACATCAACAGCATGGAAAAAAACTGCAAGACAAAAGGGGTATGCGTCAGATATATATAAGTATTTAAAACGTTTAATTTTCACAAGGAAACAATCTCATATAGTAGAGTAAGGAAGACATAAAATAGAAAGACTATCATCATGCAATAGTCCGCATCAAAAAAGAAACTGCTACAAACATCATCAGAAAGCAACTATATGAACAGGAATTTTCCAGCAAAAAAATCAAGCTCAGTAGAAACAACACTACTGATACAAAGGTTAGTACATGAGGAAAAGTGGGACAGGACTCAACAAGCAAGATCTTTAAACACAAACTACTGTACAAAACATACAAAGAAATCAATAAAGACGTCCAAAGTAGCAAATACAATAACTAATCCGAAGTATATAGATATGAGTAAACCACATCAGGAAAAGCTTGAGAGACTAACCAGGCTGACTAGTCTTCATCTTTGGTGACTTTTAAAAGCAAAAAAAAAAGAGAAGAAATATCAGTCTTTCTCCTCCAGTACGTGTCAATCTTAAACGGCAGAAACAGACCAACAACACACAAACAGGGCTAAAAAGTCTAAACAAATTATATCAGTATAATAAAAAAGCTGTCTAAGATAAGATTCTCCTTTGTTATGTGTTTAGGTGAATCAATCCAATCAATCATAACAAACTTTTAGAACAGACTCTTTGCAGAAGACTCAACACAAGTAAACTCCAACACAATTTCAAAAGTACAATTCTTTCCAGAAACAAACTCAAAAGATAATTTTATTAAAATCTAAACATGGACTAAAAGGAACATCAGTTCACACAATTAAAATTTAAAAAAAAAAAGTTAGTTAGAAAAAAGAAAAAAAAATGAACCTTTTTGAATTTTTTTATTGAGATGAATGGCTAAGGTAAGGTGTTGTATGCTATAGCAAACAAGGAGAAACTGTGTAGAAGAATGCTAGAGCAGCGAGAACCCTAAACCGGTGACAACGAAGAAGAAGAAGAACTTGTTTAGAAGACGACAAGCCATTTATATATAAATATATAAAGAAGGTCGGTCTCTCCGGCAAGAAGCTATAAGTCGGCGGTGTCTTGTCTTGTAATTTGCGTGGATAAAAAAAGGCTTTTAATCCTTTTTTATTACGAATATATACCTTCGTTAAAACGACATCGTTTCGAAATACTCGTGATGGGCTTCTTTGTCCCAAGCAATCAATCATATGTTAATCCGCATGAACATGCAGTTCTTGGCTGGTGAGTTTTGAGTGTTAACACTTATTTTTTTTACACTTATTATATACTAAAGTTTCTATCTAACCAGCAACCAACCAACCAACCAACCCTTGTAAATTTGGGAAAGTTTGGATACCAAACTTTTTTGTTTCGTTTGCTCATCATATAGACTGAAAATTAACAACACAAGCTAGCTTTCACCGTTTTTTTTTCCCTCTGGTCCTGCACATTGTGATCATTAACTTCCTCGGATAAGTCCTCTCAACTACATCCTCTTCTTGATTTCAGTCTCAGGACATATTTGACAAACATTACTAGAGTGCTTTCATACAACATCAAACCTACAATTTTCAGATATTTTTTGATTTTATCAGACCAGCAACTTAGTCCTAATGTCTTCATGTTTTTTTTCTTTGGTAATGAGACTTTCTGAAATGATAGAGCCCAACCCTCACGGCCCCTTTTAGGATTTATCAAAATCCAAATAAAAAAGCTCAACTAGCAAATGGTACATTTGATACAGAAAGGTACACTGCCTCCTCAAATTCACTGTCTGCAACTAGAATTCACAACATTATAAGAAGAGATTTTCTTAACTCCTCTAATAGCTACTTTAGTAGCTATTTGTACGCACACAGGACCGAGCATCCTCAACAAAGAAACTAGTCCGAACCAATTGATCTCTAATACCTAATAATCCTACAACCATCTGTTAGCAAAGAACTGCCGAGTGTTGTCGTTGTTGTTGCCACTTTTTATAACACAGTGTTATGAATTGGTTTCGCTGTATGTTGCTTTCTTTCACGTTGAGTTTTTGTAGGAATCAACCTTTGTCTCTGCGACTACTGTTTGATAGGTCTCTCGTTCTTGCTCGTCCTTGTCCGTGTTAATGCCTTCAAGTGAAGGGAATGATAAAAGTTGGTCCTGCACGAACAATACAAATATACAAAACTTAGTTAGTACTTAGTAGTTGCTGTTTGTCTGGTTGGCTGGCTCTCAAGACTAAGTTTTTATTTTTCTACCTTGAGAGAGGTATTCTCAGAGGTGAGCTCTTCGCACTGGCTTTTGAGCCTGATGATTTCTGCTCTGAGACTTGCGTTTTCTTCATTTAACACCTCAGCTCGTTGTGCCAGTTCATCACATTCCGCCTGAAACACACACAAAAACTTCTTACTATCTCCATAATTTTCACATATGGAAGTGGTTTAAACTTATGTCTAGTACCTGTTTACGCAATCTGGATCTTCTAGCAGACTCCCTATTGGACTGCTTCCGCTTCTGTCGCTTAATTTCTCTATCGTCCTTATTACAAGACATGCATCTTTTGAGTTTTTGGGATCAATTTTTAAAAAAAAATATTTGAGTATTTATGAGAAGGAATAGGGCAGAATAGTGCAGACGCACACACCTGTAACCAGGGTTGTGAATGGCCACCATCTCGAGAGACTGGAGGAACGATTCCAGGAACTGGTGTAGATGCTTTCCCCTGCATTCCAGGGATACCGGCTGAAGTAGGAGCACCCCAATAATCCATCCCTATGTTTAAATTTGTTGGTGGGCCTGCAGCTGGCATTGGCATGATTGGCACGGTCTGGCTCATCGGTAGAGTAGGTGTACCGTTTCGGGGACCATTAGCAGAACCACCATTCTCTGATGTTGCTTCAGGTGGATGTGCAAAACAATAAGTCACTCTCTTGTAATCAGTTTACAGTGTTAGTTACATGATATAAAAGAAAGGATCATAAACCAACCATCCTTCCCATCTTGTCCAGATCCTGAGCCCTACAAGGACAGCAAATCATATCCGAATCACAATCATAATTAGCATAGACAGAGCAAATCTCTTAAAGACTATCCAGCCGAAACTATCCAATATAAACAACTTAGAGGCAAAGTTACATGAGAATATATACGACATTGACAGATATGAATAGGTCAATCTAGTGAATGGATAAAGAGCCTACACTAAGATTCATGCTAGTTCTTAGCACGGACTTTACTGAATTACTCAAATGAAGAATTTGAGAGTCCACCAACAAAGTATTCCCCATGAAACAGTGTCTCATCGCAAGATAGTTGCCAGAAGCCAAAATGAATACATATCTGACGAAAACATGAGTAAAACTAAAAGGCTAATGATAGCTTTCCAAAACTTACATTTTGAGAGTTTGCATCACTTCCTTCACTTGAACCATCAGAAGCACTCTCTCCACTGTAATCTCAGAGCAGTGAATAATGGTTATTATCTAATAAGTCTAGATAAAGTCAAGATCCTACGAGAATAGCAACCACATAAAGTCTACCACATCCCTTAAATTGGATAAAGTCAAGCAAGTTACATGCCTTTTAGAGTAAGCTCCATTAGCTGATGCTCCTGAGTTTTTTCCAGTCTCGTTGTTCTTTCCTGTAATCATGTTCAAACTTCCCAAGCTTCCTCTTGATCTTTTAATAGGCAATTTTTCCTTCACTTCAGATTGTTTAGCATCACCCTCAGCGCCACCTGTAGTATTCCCCTGCATAAAAGCATCACTGAGTTATGATCCTGCAATAAACATGGTAGCAGATACCATTTGAGACGCAAACTCACAGAAGCTTCCGTCATTCCATTGGGAGAAGGCATAGCATAGGGGCTATATGGATAAGAACCCTGATACAGAACGACATATGTTAATGAAATCATACAACAACCATGCCATTCAATACATAGCTCATATCAGTAAAAATATTGTACCGGAGGCATTGAAGGATGCCCGTACATGCCACCTGGCGGATACATTGTAACGTACGGATGAGGTGGAGTTCCATAAGGAGGCATCATATGCTGCAAAAGTTCACATTCAGCAATCAATCAAATCTACAATGATAAAGATCTAAACGAATTCGTTACTAATAGTAGGAGTTAATCTTGAACTCAGACGAAGATCAGTTCCAAAAGCATGCAAATATCAAATCAAACGCTAGAAGTAGAACTGATGTAAAACTAAACATCAAACCTCTAAGAAGTCTGAATACAAAAGTCAATAAGCCATTTGCAACTTTATAGCAATCTGAACACTGATAAACACATCACAATAAAAGAAGGTGGATATAAAAACAGTCAGTTTACCTGAACGCCCCACATATAAGGGTGAGGTTGGGGACTTGAAGCCACAAAACCATGAGGCGGCATAGGAGAATATGCCTGTCAAAAACAAGAAACCCATAACGATCAAAAGAAACAAGATAAAAACACCACAGATTCAGAGACGGAGGAATCTATGTGTCTTTCTTATACCTGAAAACCAGACCAATCTGGAGTAGCCATGCCAGCACTCACAGCAGAAGAAGGTTCCTGAAAACACATAACAGTTGCCAACTATAGCACATCACTGAAAAGGATACAGAATCACAACTATCTGAAACCATAGGACTAGTTCCCTTTCTTATATTAAAGTTTTCTTAGAAAACTTGAAGTAGAGAAGGGAAAAATCAAACCTGTGAAGAGGGAGGAGCAGAAGGCGGCGTTGTAGGTTCCTTGTCTTTACTTGCTTTCTCCATCTCATTGCTTGCCATTATCACACTCACCAGTGAGTGAGAGCTACCTGCAAAGACGAACTCAGCTAATTAACGACGAAGATCTACTCAATTCAACAACGTTATAAATAATTAACCAGTACAGTTAATTCCTAAGCAGCACAGACTAATACATTGGCAACTCAACAAGCTAAAAAGGTTGTCTCTTTCTCAATCAAACTGGCGTCTAATAAATAGTAACAATGTAAGAGCTGATAAACACGACAACGCAAAACCCAGTATTAAAAAACAAAAACCCTAGAAAAAACAAGTCGAATTCAGACCAGAAACGTGGAATCTAAATTCAAAGACAAAAGCTTTGAGATGAGACAGAAATACACCTAACGACCGTGTGATGTCTGAAACTCAGAGAACAAATTGGGGATGCGGTAAGAAGCTATGAGCTTTTAAGTTTGCAGAGATTTGAGGGAATCAATGTCTTTGACCAAAGACAAATTGGCTGATTTGTTTGTGAGTTTTCCAACGGAGAAGAAGAAGACGAAGAAAGGGGGGCGTGTAGTTCACGAGGAATAAAAATTGCTTCTTTTGTGCTATATTAAGTATTTATACGAAAGCCCCTTTCTTAAAGCTTATTTATGATTTTACCCATTTAGTTACTAATTATTAATATTAAATACCTTGTTGAAATAATTTGTTTTTTCCATAATTTTTAACTAGTTATATATAAATACATTGGTTGTTGGGTTGTATTTTTGTTTAAACTTGATTTCTATCTACATAAATAAAATCATATTTTATTTAGTTTTAAAATTTAAAGCAAAAATATAAAGAAAAAGTTATAAAACCGTTATTTTCTAAAACATTATTTATTAAGTTTTAAGAAAAAATATTTGTTGTATGCATATCTTTCATTTTTGTTATCTTTCTAGTTTAATTTTTTGCAATCACATCATATATATAACTAAATCAAAATCCTACATTAATAAATCTACAGCTATAAATCACCTTGTGATACCTTAAATTGTTATTACCAATATGTTTATGCTTAGAAAATATATTATTAAAATGTAGTACAGTAAAATAGCGGTTTGTGTGAGAATTGAATGCGGTACAGTATAACTGTGATTTTAAGTAAAAAATGGTACACAATATTGTTTGATTGGTAATAATATTTATTTGCGATATTGAAGAATTATTTAATTAAAAAAATAATAGTGATTTTGAATATATAACAGTTAAATAATATTTAAACACTAAATAATAAAATAGACTGAAATAATTTTGACTAGGAAATTATATTTAGCGGTTTTGCTAAGTAAATTAAAAATAATGAATTTTTGAATTTAAAAAAAAATTACAATTTTAATGAATTTATGGATAATTTAGTTAGAAATTTTATTATATCAATGTTATTTTATTATAAAATAACTAGTTTTTAAGTAGGACTGGGCTATCAAGATTCTTATCGGATTTTCGTTCGGGTTTTCGGATTCATGTCAATATTTTTCTAATTTAATAGTTTTGATTTAGATAAGTCAAGAGTGTCATTCGAAGCCGAAACCATAGAAGCAGACACGGCCATGTTCCTCATAACACTGCAGTACTGCACTACTCTCAATAGTAAGTCATATGTTGTGTTAAAAGAATTTAGAAGAGGAAGGTGTTTAGACCATTTTAGTTTCTTTTAAAAGATGTGAAGATTCTGATCAATGAAGTAAAAAAAGCAATTACAAGAAAAGGGTTCAAATCTAAATCATATGGATAATCAGTCATGTTGTTGGATAAAACTCTTAGAGTGATGATGATTTATTGATGTTAAGTGCGGATTTAATAGACTGCAACTCATGTAGAACATCTTGCACTCCTTGGCTCAAAACTTCGAATTGCTGTTTTGGTATTTGATACATCACTTCACCTCCTTCACCTACATGCTCCTCCAATTTCATTATCTCACTCATAACCTTCAATGTATTCATCATCGCTTCCTCTCCTCCTTTTCTGCCAAGTCCAGTTTCTGTTGTAGAGTCTTGTTTGGTATGAGCTTTGACTTGTTGTTCAGCAACATTTCTCTTAAGAACAGGTGTGGCTTTAGATGGTGAACTCAAATGTGAGGTAGTAGTAGCTTTTGGGGATAATTTTTTTCTTGTTAAAGGAGTACCAGGAGAAGATGATGAATCCTTTGGTCCTTTTGAAGTTTGTGGTCTTGGTGACTTAACAGGTAATGCTTTTGGTCTTATTACATGGCTATGACTCTTTATCTCTTGCGAGCTCTTTGGTCTTTCTTTGACTTCATTCACTGGAGTATTTGTCAACTTAGACAATGGTGGCTTCTTAGCCTTCTTCAAAGGCTTCTCTTTCTCTGAACCTGTGAGACTCCTCGCAGAGCTGCTTACAATGCCTTTATCATTCACTGTCTTCAAACTCCCTCCCTTCAACTCTCCTTTTTCTCCTAATGTTTTAGATGTTCTTGGAGGAGAAGATTTGACCATTGTTTCTGTGGGTTTCTCTTTCAGAACCTTATGTGTACTTCTCTTAGCCATGGCCTGTAGAGTCGTTACAGACTGTTTCCACCATCGTATATACTTAACCGTAACATCACCTTGCCGAAACCTACAAGGAATATACATCATTTCATCTGTAATCGGTCTTATATAATCCTTCCAAGCCACCTCAGGCGACTCAGTTAGCACCACGGGAACTACTCCAGGAACATCTTGATCATAACCAAACTGCAACGCCACACGGTGTGGATAATAAGGCTCAATGCAGTTCAAACCCACCAGCTTAGAGCATCTCAAACACCGACCAAACGCTACAATGTCTTCATCTTCCAAAGACACCCAAGAATCAGCTTCTAAGTAGAACTTGGGGAACTTAAAGTTCTTCAAAGGTTTTGTGTATGGACGGTAAAGAAAATTATCCTTAGCGGAATCAAGAACGGTTCTGATACTCTCGTGGCTTATGTTTGCCTCTTGACCACTACTGTGCTGGTGCCATAGTGCTATTCTTGGCTCGTGAGGCTTTAGCTGGCTAGGCTGGCCAGGTGGTCGCACGTCCATGATCCTCTCCCAAGCCCACACTTGCACAAACTGAAACGGCGATGTAGCAGTAACACCTGAGAGTTTGGATGTAGCAGTAACACCTGAGAGTTAGATGCGCATGTTCAATGTTCCAAAAATAGTTAGGCTATAACTAGACACTTTATAGAAAACTAATGAAATTACGGGTTATTCGGAGCTTAACTAAAACCCTAGAGCATTAACAGATTATTGATATTTCAATTATATTTATATAAATTATTTAGTTTTAACTATTAAATTGTTTTGATTACTATCAAAACTAGATATAGCAAGAAAACAAAAATAGATAAATTTTTGGATTTGTACTAATATTGTTGTTTAATTTAAAATATTTAGATTAATTTACTTTAATTTTAATCGATTTAGAACATTTTAAACCGATTTGAGTTGTATAAATCAAATTTTAAGAAATTGTTTCGGATAAGACCATATTGCCGTCTAGACTAATGTTTAACTAAATTGTCTATAGCTCCATGATGTAAATTATTTAAATTTTAGGAATTATAGACCAAAATGTTTCACTTGCCTGTGTTCGTAACCACCGTCTCTTCCTCTCCATAGCCACCAACAATCTGCTTCTTCAAAACACCAAGACTACTATAAATCCCAGCAAGAACCGCAGGAGCAAGCGCAAGCCTAACACCTCTAGCTAACTGAACCGCAGCCGCAAACAACTTCTCCCTCACGTAATCACCCGAGTTAGGAAAAACGAAACGTGACAGCCACGTGACCATAAACGCCTCATGCTCAATCTCGTTCCCAGAGTTCATCATCTCCTTCACCCACAAACCAACGCAACATCTCTTCATCGAACTCGCGGCCTCGATCTCACGTTTCGCTCTCTTCAGCTTCTCCTCAACGGACTTCATCGAGTCTCGTTTCACCGAAGCCAAAACGTTGTTCCCTATGGCCGAGAATCCACCGAGAACGATCATATCTTCCAACGTCACCGTCGCTTCTCCCCAAGGGAAGACGAATGAGTTTGTCTCTATGCACCATTTCTCCACCAAGGCTGTCATGAGGTCGTCTTGTTTCGTTATTTGGTAACGTGACGCCATGATTGCGTCGTAGACTCCTGATTTGCGCCACATTAGGGCGTTGGTGTCGGCCATTGTGTTCACCCATTCGATCCAATTCGCAGACGGAGAGCCCCATCCGGAGAAGGAGGGTTTCTCTGGTTCTGATGTTATGAAGGCGTCGAGGGGAAGCTCGAAAACGTCGTCGTCTATGGAGGTTGTTGTGTAATTCAAGAAATGTGCTGTTCGGAGGCCTTCGAATCTTCCTCCGTCGGGACACATCAGAGCTTGTCTGACTTGGACGATATGTTCATCGTCTTGATCAGAAGAACCTCGAGGATCCATCTGATTGGAGAAACTTTTTTCTAGGGCTTTGAATTGGTCTAGTATATCACGGGGAGGAAGGAGAAATAGAAATGTGGAACAGCTAGAACAATTGCTAACTTGGGATCCACGTTAGGGCTAACGACGGCAGACTCTGACGTTTCGCGCTTAAAACGTTTATTTTTAGAAAGACAGTTCAAGTTTTATTAACAGAACTTCACATATCAACAGTTATAGATTTAGCTACGTTCATCTAATGGCTACAAAACCGCAAACAGAGTTTTCGGTTTGTATGTGAACTTTTTCTTTTGAGAATCTTTGTGGTTGTTGTTGTATTTTAATAAGTCCATGAAACTAAGAACAAGACAATCAATCGACTTATAGAGAAATGATTTTCGTAATAAAATTATAAGTTTCCTAAACTAAATTACATACAAATAGATATAATACATTTCAAAGAAAGGAAACGTTTTAATATAAAAATATTTTGACAAATATCAGCAATACGACTATTACTGAATTTTGATCTCTAAAGAAATTAAGATATTGAAGATCATACGGTAACAAGTTTGTGACCATCAATTAGCTGTTCTATCAGGTTCGGTTTAATGTTGTAGCTTTTGTGTTTTCGTTCTATCTCTGTTTTAGTTTTACCTATTATTTCGTATAGAGGAAAAGTTTATTTGTGGCCATCTGTTTACTTTGGACTGCGTTTGTATATAAAGCCTTGCTTGGAATTTTGATCACCTATACTCTTTTGCAACCCCAAAATATTTTCAATCCTCAACGTAATAACATAACAGAGAGTATGTCTCATGCCACTACTAACCAAAGAACACATCACCACATAATACAACAAAACACAACAGGATAATATTGTAGACAAGTGCACAAATGGTAATTACAGTAGTTGCAAGATAGTATAGTACTATAATCAAACCTTCTAAGAGAGTGGTATAGTAGGAGTATGGTATTACCTCTAGTATATTCATTTGTTTACTTGCTTCCCCTGAAGAAGAGGTATATTTTCTGCAGAAATCCCAACAATGGTGGAAACACATTTAAGGCAGGAAATTGGTTTATATGTTGGTTTGGTATCTATAAGCAGATATATAGAAGAAAACGGGTAGACTTGTATCACTTTACCTGGATAACCCACAGACTGAGAAGCGACTCCAAGCAGAAAAGACCGAAGCCAACAAAGTAGAAGATCTGCAGCAAGAATCAAAGTTAAGCTAGGTTCACAGCCAGATTTCATGGTTAACAGTTGGCCACAAAATTTTTTGAGCTGTGGTGAATATAGAAAGGAGGTCATGGTTAATACCCCGGCTAGTAAACTGCCTCTGATTACATCAATTGCTGCCAGCACACCCCTGAAGATTGGAAGAGAATGAGGATTACTTGTCGCAACACATGCACTTACTTATTATACAAAGACAAATACTATAGGACGAGAATTCATGAACCTTATGGTTTAGTTCAAGTTAGTTGATTTTTTTCTTCTGTCGTGAATGAAATAATGTTTCCAGACGACTTGTTAGTCGAAACACGAGCTACGATTTTCTAATTCTCATCTAATCTATCAGAACAACTTATAACTTCCTAAGTGAAGCCCTTGTCAAACTAACTATACATGAAGCACGAGAAGACTTAAAGGAACAATGATTGAGACTTACGTCAATGATTGCCCACGGAAAATGATAGGAGGAGCAATGGCAGCAAATATGCAGAACCCAATGTGAACCTGTTAAGAGAAAAGTTCAGTTATAGAAAAAATAGAAAGTAATAAGAGTCAAGATGGTGAATCCAAAGATGAGAGTTCTTTTCAGTAAACTCACCAGGTAGAAGAAGAAAAACCAACCGAACTTCAGAGCGCTGTTAGTCCTGCAAAATTTTAAGAAAGCAATTCAGTTATCGGCAACAGTGCAATATGAACCAGTCAAGGACTCTAAGGAATAGTCATATTAACAAGGCATCACCTCATAGCTCGGTAGAGAGGCCTGTACCATAGTACATATGAAATTGGACATCCAAGCAACGCATAGATCGTGGCCAGAAAAAAGATTTTGACACCTGTCATTACGATTTTAAAACCAGCATTCCAATCACAACTTCATACCATAGTTCCCCTCATAGTATGAATCTGTTATAGTGGAAAAAAAAGCTCACCTCCGCCTTTAATCCAGCAGACTATCACCGCAATGACATTGAACACGAGACACAAAACTATACCTGAAAACTCGAACAGTAACAATCCCATTAGTTCACTTTTTACACAGCTCCAAAAGTAGTTGAAACTAATGAAACATACCCAACCAACTAGCAAAGGCCAGGTACTGCAGTTTCTGTGCATGAACTGGTATCTCGTTAGCAATGTCGTGGTGTATAATAGGGAAAAACGGTGGCCAGTTTTTATCGTTTGTCTTCACACCAGCTATGTAGACACAATTTGATAATGTTTTCATTAGCAACGAATCAGCACGATACTAAAAAAAAAACAAATTAAAAAAAAAAAGGTAATGAAGTCAACTCCTGTTGACTTACATTTAGCAACAGCATCTTCTCTCCGTTTAATATCCTGAGTGAGTCAATGATTAAAAGAGTTACATGAAGAAAGAGAAAACAAAAAGTGATAACCGATTTGATACAAACCATTTCTCTCTTTTTAAGCTCAGATTCTCGATCAGAAAGCTCCCTCTGTTTCTTTGAAGAGTCCTCCTGCATCTTCAACTCTCACACATTAGATTTAAGAGCTATGGAAAGTGACGAGTGTTAGAAATACTTTAAGTGTTCTTACGTTAACCGTATCCAATGGAATATCGACGGTAGCATCAAAGTTATTCCCAAACCCAGCTGGCCTAGACGCCACAGGCCTCCCACCTCCTTTCTGCAAAGATTCGTTCAATACATATATTAAGAGCCCTGCGAGAAGCTTCAACAGAGGAATTTTGATACAAACTACAAAATTTCATTTCGAGATCTGAGATCCTATATAACAC